ACGCACACATCTCTTCCGTTCCCGTCCACACTTGCCACGCACAAACCACACATCCTACACACCCAGTTCCCACGTCGCAACGCATCGCAACGCAAACCCTCGCGCTTTCCATGCGCAACATTCCGCTCCTCTGCTTCCAGCACACTGCTAGCCTCATAGATTTGATACGACACACTGCACAGCCCCTGTAGTGAACAGCTGGCCTACACTGTTACTAGCTATGATCCCCAAGCTATTCTGACTAGATGCACACTCTTTATCTAACTACCTAAACACATGATTCCCTCTGAATCCACTATTAAACACCATAATTAACCAGAACACATTGGAGTTCACATTATCTGTCCCCAAAGGAAAGTCCAGAACACTAGAACTGTCTCTGACCCTCGCTGAGGGTCAGTGCCAGAGTCAGAGCATCAGCGTCACACCCAGCCCCTCTATCTAAAAGCGTCATAATTCCTGAGCTATTCTATAGTGTGTATTGCTTTTCATGATACTAGGCCTCTAGAGGCCACACAAGGGATCCATTGTAGTGCCTGTGCACTACAACTTCCCCCCCCTCTCTCAAACTGAAATCGCTCCACGGTTTCGTGTATTCCTTCCTTCTCCAACCTCTGCTATTATATTTTTATCGCTAATTTTTATATTTATTCGCACCGTATTTTTTTATTTGTTATTTACTATTATTATAGCCTTCTCTNTTTTTTTTTCAACTCTGGTTACCTGTTTCTTTTCCTTTTCTTTTTCCCTTTCTTTTCATTAATTCTTGTACCTATCCTCTTAGTGATCCGCCTTTTGTGTATGGGTTGTGGTGGGCATGATTTGGTTCTATCCACATGTGTGTGAGCTCCTCTGTCGTACAACTTGACACCGAGTGTGGTAGTAGTGCGCATGCAAGTGCACGCACACTTCCTCCCCCTCCCTGCGCGGAAAGGCTGTCGATCATGCTGCCGCTTCTCGCCCAATGTCCCACACGTCTGCTCCACAGGGGACCTCTGGCCCGCCCCTCCACTTGTGCCATTTGCCGTTGATTCCGTACTAGTTTGGACCTTAGGCAGCCCGCACCACTTCTCATTCGCGGCGGCTATCCGCGTGTCGGACGTACGCTTTTGCCGCTCGATTGTCTCAGACTTAGTGAGGCTTCCCGGACCCCCTGTAACGGAAGACGCCTTAGAACGACTCTCATCCCCTTCCACACGATGTAGTGCGGCTGTTCGCTCCCTACTAAACGCCGTCTCTGTACCGACGTCTTCCCTTAGACAGAGACTCTGCCACCACTGCGGCAGCAC